GGGAAACTATATGATGAGGAAATATGTCCCACATGGAGGAAATGTCTCACCCTGCATAAAGAATAACGAAATGTATTGTGTCATGTAACAAGAAGCCCAGGGGTGCGTTCACCGGCTGGATGACATAAGCAAGTACCTAGGCTCTGTTTGACTCTTAGGTCCATCATCCTCAGCTTACTGGCTTGGTCAGCTTGTCTCCTCAAGGTTCTAAGATGGCACCAGGAGTTCCAACCCAACCGCACCCCACTCAAGAAGAGGGACCTCCTTGAGAAATGGCTCACTTCAAAGCTGGGGTAAAGAAAATACAAGATGAACTGCAAACTCCTAATTGTGCTGGAACATTAAAACTGCATGTAAAGAATGATGGTGACATGTCAAAAGGACAATAGCCAGTTTAAAAGAGCTTTCTTTGGCCAACTTTGGGACAATTTGAACATCCAAATAAATAATGATAGTATTAGATTATAAGCTATTGAGCATCAAAATCAATAATGATGGTGTTAGCTTATAAGAGATTTAATAAAATAGCAATCTATATCTCCAAACTGATATAAATAAGGGAATAAATAGAGAGAACTTTTCCTTATAGTAGAATGCTAACTAATACATAATAGAAGGGATGGCTCGATTAGAAAAATCAACATTTGGCAGTTATCATAGAAATTAATTCAGTCAAGAAACATCAATGGATACTTAGAAGCAGTGGGTGGCATGCTGATAAGGGACAGGATATGAACATAGTATCAAACACAAGCATATCTCGTTTTATTGCATTTCACACATACTATGTTTTTTTGTTTTTGTTTTTTATAAATCCAAGGTTTGTGGCAACTCTCTACTGAGCAAATCCGTCAGTGCCATTTTTTCTGACAACATTTGCTCACTTCATGTCTCGGTGTCACCTTTTGGTAATTTCCTTAATATTTCAATTTTTTCCATTATGTCATTATGGTGATCTCTGATCATTGATTATGAGTTGCTGGAAGCTCAGATGATGGTTCTTATTTTTTAGCAACAGAGTATTTTTTAAGGTATGTACATTGTTTTTTAGATATGCTATTACACACTTAATAGACTATGGTATAGTATAAACATAATTTTTATATGCACTGGGAAACCAAAAAATTCATTTGCCTCACTTTATGGGTGATATTCACTTTATTGCAGTGATGTGGAACTGAACCCACAGTATCTCCAAGATAGGCCTGCACCTTCCCTCAAGATCCTCATTTAATACAAAGGGGAAAAGAGTAACTTAACAAAGGAAAAACCTGGCTTAATCAAGTGTTGAAAATTAATATCAACACCTAATAACACAAATGCAAATCTTGTGTCATCTGTTAGGGCACGATGAAAAGTAAACAACCTCCCTTTCATGGCATTTCCCCCCCACCAAAATGCATAACCTGAATCTAATTATGTGAGGATATCAGACAAACCCAATTTGATGGACATTCTACTCAATAAGTGGCCTTCTTAGATGTCGAGGTCATAAATGTCAAGGAAAGAACGAGAAACACTTCCAAATTACAGAACACTGAAGAGATAAGATACTAAATGGAATGCATGATCCTGGACTAGATCTTTTTGTAGTAAAAGATATTATTGGTACAATTGGTGAAGCTGAGGATTCGATGGTAGAGTGTTAATTTCTGATTTTGATGGTGGTTTTGTGGTTATGTAGTACAATGTTTTGTTCATGGGAATTATACACTAAAATACTCTGGAGTGATGGGGCATTGTGTCAGCCACACCCTCACACGGTTCAAGAAGAAAAGTTCTTTGTTCTCATCTTGAAACTTTTTTGGTAAGTTTGAAGTTATATCCAAAGGCGGGGTGGGGGGGGGAAAGCAGGGCTGTTTCTTCCAGAACATCTCTTCCCATTATTCTAAGCAGCTCCCCAGTGGAGAAGCACATTGGCCAGGACCGAGTCACATACAGTTTCTTTTTGGAGCCCAGGGCCACTGGCAACAGTGAATCCTCCAAGAGCCCTAGGCTGTTTGTCCTTGCATTTAGTTGCTGGGTGCTATTGTAAGGATTGGGAAACCAAAGATAGTGAGACTATCCTCTCAAGAAGTTCATGGAGTGGGGGGGCACGCCTGGGTGGCTCAGTCAGTTAAGCCTCTGCCTTCGGCTCAGGTCATGATCTTGGGGTCCTGGGATGGAGTCCTGCATTGGGCTCCTTGCTCAGTGGAGAGCCTGCTTCTCCCTCTGCCCCTCCCCCCCCACTCCGCTTGTGCTCTCTCTCTCTCTGACAAATAAATAAAATCTTAAAAAAAAAATTTCACTGGGGGAGCCTTTCACCAACTAGTAATTATAGTGCAGTAGCATCACTCGATGATCACGGAGTGCCTGGGATACTCTCAGAGCCCAGATGAACCTAAAACACCCTGGGGCAGGGGTGAGGCCAGGGCAGGCTTCCTAGAGAATGGGAGTAATGGCAATGGCAGCTCTTCTTTTGGCTGAATGGGGGATAAAATCAGGCACGAGGGAACACTGTAGGCTTTTAAAGCATACCCCCTTCCGGTTCTGCTACGGTATGCCCCTCAGCTGTGGCCGTTCCACAGACGAGGCAGCTGTTGGGCGGAGTGTGGGGAACTCTGGGGAAAGGAGCAGTCTGAGCAATGGTGCAGAGGAAAGCCCGGAGCATGTCTAGGCCTGGGCAAGCTATTCACCTGGCTTCGGAGTGGGGAGCAGGAAGCAAGGTGGTTCGGGGCCAGGGAAATTAAGAAGCTTGATTGTAAGGCTAAGAAGTTTTGACTTTCTTCTGGGTGTACAACGGGGAACCCTTAAATGTTTTAGAGGAGGCCTGTGTTTCTGAGCAGTTCATCTGGGCAGTGTGTGGAGAGGGGTAAGTTCGTGGTAGGGAGACTCACTGGATGACTGTCTAGGCAGAAAATGTTCAGGGTGAAATATGGCCTTGGGGATGGAGGAAAAATGATGACAGGAGAGAAAAGACCACGCTGAGTGAACCGGCTGATGGGAGAGGAGCGTCAGAGAGGATTTACTCTTCCAAGTACAAGTGTTGGGTGTCATTAGTAGACATGGGGATGGCAGGAGCATGCTCTGGGTGGTATCTGGTGGGGTCGGTTGGGGGACATCACTCTACCCACAGTGGTGTGGACAAAAAACCAGGACAAAATTAGTCAGGCATCATGCTGGGGTTTCAACAGAAAAGAGAGCATATATCCAATAATCTGTCTAGTCATTACCACCACTGCTTAAAACTCTCTGAAAGCTCCCCGTTGCTCTTAGGACAGACTGGTCTTTTCTGTGGCCCACAAAATTGGTGCACCTCTTGTGTCTCACACCCATCCTCCCTTTCTGTATGCACCACACTAGCCTTCTTTCAATCCCACCCATGGGATACAGTCACCACTGTATTTCCAACATGAGTAAGTAGGTATTGAATAAACTGCTGTTACTTCAGTCACGGGGCCTTTGCACATGCCATCCATGCATCCATGCTTAATCTTCCTTTTCCTCTTGGTCTGCTCAGAGTTTACTTACCTTTTAGATCTCAGTTCAAGTGTCACTTTTCCAGGAGCACTTCTCCTGACCTCCCTGATTAGGTCCAATCTCATGCTTTATGGAGACATGTACCTCCCCTTTCTGTAATTTTACATTGACTTGTAGGAATATTTGCCTAAGGCCCATCTCCCCCACAGACTGTAAAATCCAGGGGGCAGGGAGCAGGGAGCAGGGAGCACTGTTCTTTCTGTGAACACTCTTATCTCCTGTACTCAGCATGGGTAATGGAACTCTGTAATGCCCAGTGGTTATTTGCAGAATGAATTAGTGAGTGAGTGAATGAATGAATGAATATTCCATTGGTGCTTCTGGGAAGGGATTGAGAAGCAGGTTATGCTTGAGAAGCATCTTATAGGACAGATAGAATTTCAACAGATAGTTTTGGTCTTCAAGAAACCAGCACAAAACTAGCAAAAGCACAGAAGAGGGCTTGATCAAAGGCAGTTGGTGAATGTCTAGGAGAAATAGGGAAATGGAAATCAAGAGAAACAAAGAGTTCCAAGGCCAGAAAGACAAGCCAGATTTTGGAAAGATCCAAATGTTGCGGAGGTCTTGGTTCTTAACTTGAGACACTGGGGAGCCACGGAGGGTGGGGAAGGAAGATGATACCCCCAAAGCTTCTTTCTGGGGAGACGGACATGACTGGGTAGCAGGTGGCTGGAGACAGGAACTGGAAACAGAAAACATGCAATTGCAATTGCAATACCTTTGGTCAAACATGCGAAGTTGGGGTATTGTAGGTGAGAGATGAGCAGAGGGAAATTCGGGTGGGGAAATGAAAGAAACTTGGCAACAGATGGGAAGTTTAAGAATGAATGAAAGCCACGGGTGACTGGGCTATGGGCTCGTAAGACTCATGTCTTTTTTGTCTTTGGATGCCCCCGTAGAAAAAGAGATTCCTTTTCTTAGAAGTCGTGGAAAGGAAACTAATCTGGGAGCTACAAATGCTCAGAGAGGCCATAAAAAGTGAGGAAATCTGGCCCAAAGATCATTTCTATTTGGCTCATTCAGGGTTCAGTTGGCAACATTTAAAAGCAATGAGATTTCTCATAAACATCCCATATTTCTTCAAGACTGCCCACACTGGTCACCGTGTCCCCTGGGGCACCTGTTGGCTGAGCTCAGGTGGCTCTGCGTGGCTGCTCCCCAACACTCCACCTGGTCTTACTCCCGGAGGAGTTCCCTCATTACCTGTGAAGGCAGCTGACCAGCTCCCGGACACTGCTCTTCGGTGCAGCAGGAAACACGACATGTTCTATCATGGATCTGGGGCTTCCTAGAACTGGGGGGGCGGTGGTTTGGCCTGGAGGACCTACACTCTCAAAGAAATCTGATGAGATCCAGTTGACGAAGAGGCACAGCAGCACTTAGGGTGTCTCCTGACACTATAGCGCTCAGGGTCACAGAGCTCACTGGACGCGGTGAAATCTCTGCCACGGAGTAAATAACTACACTGGGGCATATGTGGACTTCATAAAACTTTTATTGATACGTTTATCACGCCAAAAAAAGGTTTTTTTATTTAAAATTCAAATTCCATTTGAAAAGGAGCCACAAATGATTGTTGGGGTCCCAGCCTGCTCTGGGAGGAGCCCCCACATTCATAAGAAAGCACGCACATTCTACAGCTACGTGATCTGATCACCCAGAACCGTATTCCGGGAAACTCCTAGAGATCCCTTGCAGGACGCCAGCCGTGTCTTTAGTTGGTAGTTGGGAAACAACAACAACAACATAACTCCATTCTAAGACTTCTCAGAACATCGCTGGCTTTGAAACTATTGACCCTCAAGGATCTACCACCACCCAACCTAGAATATATGTATGTATGTGTGTGTGTGTGTGTGTGTGTGTATATATACATATATATATGTATATATATATATATATTTTCCCACTGACATATCACTGTTTTTGTTGCTTGCTGCTGGCACATCAGACCCTTAGGATGGCCTCAGCACACCTGGCCTTCCTTCTGGGTGGGATCCTGTGGGTTCTGGCTGTGGATGGGCAGCCTTTCAGGAACGCTTGGACTTGCTGCAAGTCGGGCACAGAAGCTGCCCCTTGGTGACGATGTACGCCCGGCCGCTCAGCTGCTGCTCACAGCCCTCACAGACAAAGTGTTTTCGGTGCCAGGCCAGGTCTTCCACACGCTGGTAGTCCTCTGAGAATATGATCTGGGGAGGGGAGCAGAGGAAATGCACGACTTGGGTTCTGTCCCTAGTAGAGACAGTGCGTGGAGGACAACTTGTAGATGGTGGTTCCTCCTCTCCCCATTCTCGTCTTGACCTTTAAATGCGTCAGTGGAGGATTCTGACCTAAATCTTAGGCAGTAAGTACAGTATTTGGCACAGGTCATGATTGCATCTTAGCTTCTTAGATGGGGAAAAAAAAAAAAAATTCTCCGCCACAGGCACATTTTACTTATCTAGCATCCATAATACTCTTTGGCCCCAGAACAAAGCCCAGTTGTGTTCTGAGATGGGATTACATACACCAGTGAAGACCGCCCAACCATAGCTAAGGGCCAATGGCCAGTCTTCAACAGCAAGGTCACACAGGATCATGTGGGCTTGGAATAAAGTGACACTTTGGAATATGTAAATATGTATATATATGCTCAGGAATCCCTGAGGAGAGCAGAACAGCATTTAAATGCATTTTATGATTTGGGGGGAACCAGCTGCATGACGTTGGGCAAATCACTTCATCTTTCTGTGCCTCAGTTTCCATATCTGTGGAACGGGGACAAAAAACTGACCCATCCCACAGGGTTTTATGAGTTCTACATGTGTTACTACATATGAAGTACCTGGCATAGTGACTGAGACACAGCCGAGGCCATGGCATTGTCATCGACCTCTCTGAGCTTTTCTCTTCTCAAATGTAAAATGGAGATAATGATGGTCTCTCCCTAAGAGACCGCTGTGAGATGTAAATGGCATGTCACCTATCAAGTATGGAGCAAATGGCTGACCCATTGTAAGCCCTTAATAATGGATGGAGTGTTGCGACTCTAAGTATACTGTTGTCCTCACAAAAATGAGGTTGTGGCGGGGCACCTGGGTGGCTCAGTTGGTTAAGTGTCTGACTTCAGCTCAGGTCATGACCTCAGGGTCCTGGGATCAAGCCCCGCATCGGGCTCCCTGCTCAGCGGGGAGTCTGCTTCTCCCTCTCCCTCTGCCCCTCCCTCCGCTCATGCGCGCTCTCTCTCTCTCAAATAAAATATCTTTAAAAAAAAAATGAGGCTGTGGGGGCAGGCCTGCCGACAGTCCTTCCCCTCTTAACCTCTCTCGAACACACCGTTATTAGGTAAGACAATTGTCGGGCTTTAACTTCATATGGAGAGGAACATGTGGAAGGTGGGAGGATGGGGGAGGCAGATACTGGCTCAAAATGAAGAAGACATTTCTAACCCTCATACGTGCCAACAATGAAGGTAGTGAGTTTCCTGTCGTCACAGGCATGCAGACAGTAGTTACCATTATCATGATTATCATTGTCACCGTTAATATACCTTAGAGTTCCTCTAGCCTGAACTCATATTGGAGAGTCAAACCCCTTTCATGGCATCTCTATTGTATTCAGTTAATGTTTTAGTATTATATCATGTCCTCTCGTATTACCTTATAAGACTACTGGTGGCTCCTATTTATTAATTCCTTGGTCAGGCCCTGTGCCAAGCATTTTCATGCATGATCTCATTTTATCCTCATAGCAACCCCTTGGGACGGGCCTATTTTCCTCCCATTTTATGAGTGGTAAATTGAGGCACAGGAGTTAGGTAACCACACCACTAATCGTGCAGAGCCAGGTTTGAATGTGGGCAGTCTGCTTTCTGGCACCTGCCGCTCCCCCCAGAGTGTTCTTCTGAGCACTTAGTAAGTGGCAGGCATTGTGCCAAGGACAAGACCTGACAAGAATGATGTGTCTGACCCATCCCGAACAACCCCATGAGTGTGAACTAGTTTCTGCCCCCCTTTGCAGATGGGGAAACAGAGGCCGAGGGCAGGACGCGAGCTCTGAGCCTTAGTTTTCCTACCTGTGGATCACGTCCTCAATGAAGCCACACTCACCTCGGCCTCTGGGTCCTCTCCCACAGTAGTGGGAGTACCCTCCCCACCGCCCAGCACCCCCCACCCCCGACTCTCACCTCATCGCAGCCAGAGCACCGGGGCCGCAGGCTCTCGCAGTAATGGCGGCCACACCAGGGTGCACCGTCCTTCCAGAAGTAGATGAGGTCCACCAGCGGCTCGGAACACTTGACACACACAAAGCAGGTGGGGTGCCACTGCTTGCTGTAGCCTGCCCTGTCTGAGTAGACCACAGGGCTGTCGGCAGGGGCCACTCCCTTGCAGAACTCACAGACCTAGAAGGGGAGGAGGACACCAGGGACCCAGGGTGGTCAGGACACTGCAACACGGGTTCGAGCGTCCACTCGTCTCTTTACTTCCTGAGGGCCCTCCAGCTTACTGCACCTCTCTGTTCCTCAGTCTTCTCATCTTCAAAGTGGGGTAATAATATTGTCTACCTAGTAGATGGTTGTGAGGACTGAATAGAGCAGTTGTTTAGCTCAGGGAGTCTCAAACTTTTTATCCTCCAGGACCCTCTATATTCTAACAAATTATTAAGAACCCCAAAGAGTTTTTGCTCATATGGGTAATAGCTGTTGAGATTTACCAAAAGAAAAATTAAAACTGAATAAAAAAATTAAGTAATTATTAATTCACTTAAAAATAATAAACTGACATGTTAACATAAATATTCACAATTAAAAATAACTGTTTTCCCAAGCTGAAAAATTTAGTGAGAAGAGAGGCACTGCTTTATATTTTTGCAAATCTCTTTACTGACTAGCTCAATAGAGGACTGTGGGATTCTCATAATTGCTGTAGCTCCTCATCTCTTGCATTATGTGGTTTTCTTTGAAATATATGAAGAAAATCTGACCTCACACTGGTATGAAGTTGGTTAAAGGAAGGGAAGAGTATTTTAATAGGCTTTCCAGATCACTGTGGAGATTCTTCCTTATTCTATACCAAAACTGGACAGGTGGTAGTTTCTCAAAAGTCAATGTGGAGTCTGAACTGTATCAATCAACCTTTCATCCTGGTTACATTAAAATCCAGGACCACCTTGTACTTTGAAGGGATCTTTTACCCATTTACGCACATATGATTATTTTTAATGAACTTTAAGTTTTAGAAGAGTTCTAGATTTGCAGAAAACTTGTGAAGATAGTACAGAGAGCTCTCATATACTCCACACCTCAATTTCCTCTGTTCTTAACGTCTTAGAGTAATATGATACACTTGTCACAATTAATTAACCAATGTTGATATGTTATTATTAACTAAAGTCCCAACTTTATTTAGATGTTCTTAGATTTTACCTAATGTCCTTTTTCTATTCCAGGATACGTTACATTTAGTTCTCATCTCCTTAGGCTCCTCTTGGCTGTGACTTCTCAGACTTCTTTTTTTTTTTTTTTTTGGAGAGAGAGCGAGAGCGAGCAAGCATGACTGCAGGGGTGGGGGACAGAGGGAGAGGGAGAGAGAGAATCCCAAGCAGGCTCCATGCTTAGTGAGGAGCCAGATGCAGGGCTCGATCTCATGACCCTGAGATCATGACCTGAATCAAAACCAAGAGTCAGACGCTCAACTGACTGAGCTACTAGGCGCCCCTAGACTTCCCTTGTTTTTGATAACCTTGACAGTTTGGAAAAGTACTGGTCAGGTGTTTTGTAGCACGTCCCTCAACTGGGATCTGATGTTATTGTCATGATAATGTTGGGAGGAAAACCACAGAGGTTGATCGCCATTCTCATGACATACTATCCAGAGTACATACTTAATCCATCAAATCTTTTGAGTTATTTTGGAGTTATTTCTGGCTCCTCACAACTCTGGTGATGCTGACGCGGATGATGGCGCTCTCATTTCCTTAAGTCCAGCACCATGCTCAGGATTGTGCACACCTTACTAATACCCCTTACAGAAACCCTGGAAGGTTACTTCACCTCCTAACTTGGCTCCCTTCTAAGGAAATCATTATTTCCCTCCAGACATGGAAAAACGGAGGTTCAGAGAGATTCAGTGGTTGCTCAGTAATGTACAGCTGATAGAAGGCAATGACGGGATTTGAACAGCGGCCAAGCCTAACCCGGAAGCCAAGGTTCTTTCTACTGCACTGTGTGTAGGCGCCAGCAAACCGCAACCATGACCAAACCCTGCTGCTGCCTGGACCTGTAAGATCCACCAAGCTAAGAATGGATTTTATGTTTGAACTCCAGTTCAGTGAAATGTTTTCTCCCAAAAAAGAATTCCATTTTTCTTATTAGTGGACCTATATTATGGACTGAATTATGTCCCCCCCACCCCAGATTCCTATGTTCAAGTCCTAACTCCCAATGTGACTGTATTTGGCCATAGGGCCTTTTAGCAGGTTATTAAGGTTAAATGAGGTCATAAGGGTGGGGTCCTAGTCAGATAGGACTGGTGTCCTTATGAGAATAAGAGAGACCAATCCCCCTCTCTCCCATTCTGTGCACGCACAGAGGAAAGGCAGCTATGTACAAGCCAGGAGGAGAGGCTTTATCAGAACCCTATTGCACCGGCACTTTGATCTTGGACACGTAGCCTCCAGAACGATGAGAAAATAAATTTCTGTTATTTAAGCCACCCAGTCTGTGGCATTCTGTTATGACAGCCCGAGCTGACCAATAAAACCTGTATTACAAAAACCTATGCTTAATGATACTATTAGATCTTGAATTTCAGAAATAGAAAACTCGGTGGAAATTTGTTTTCTCTCTTGTTACATAAAGTACCTACATGATATCATCAGTTTTGGCTCTTGGCCTACAACACCTGAAATATTTACCACCTGGCCCTCCACAGAAAATGTTTGCAGAGCCTGGCTTTAGATGAGTACTTGATCTGACTAAGCACCAATTATAGGTCAGCACAAACAGAAATATTTTGCCATGCAAAGAGGAGCAGGCATATGTTAAGAGCCTAAACACTTGGTATTCTTAAGTTATAGACTTGAATTACATTACTTAATATATATTCTTGTATACAGAGAGGAAATAAAAGTTATGATGATGGAAAGTAGGGAAAGAAAACCAAACGACGAGGAATGCCCATGTACTGACAGGGGTCCCTAAGCACAGTAGTTGTTGAGTGAATGGCTAGATAAAAAATGTATTTGGCTAATCGATCCAAACTGCCTGATGATGGTCCTTGGAATGTGCTAGACTTGTTTCAGTTATGCCCCCACGAATGAATGGTGTGAGTCCTTCACCACAACGAAAACCCTGTTCCCTTGCACATGACTGAGTCCCAGCTCCCATGGAGCTCATCAGAGGGTCTAAACCAAAAACAAGTGATGAATCATCATTCATTTATTTTCACCATCCCTTCGGCACATCTGGGAAGTGTAAACTCTTTGGCAAGCACTGTATGAGTACCAAGTGAGTTTTCTGTCTGTCTGTCTTTCTGTATTTCATGGGACGAAATTTCCAGCCCTTTTCCTCTCGCACAGAAGGGACTTAGTGTCAATTCACCAAACACCCAGTTGGGTATCACTGTGATACACCAGTGGGGCTCCCAACTCCAGATTTCCCAGATGTTGCTTAACATGGAAGCAGGGAAAGGGATACAAATGCACCTGGATGCATCTGGGGAGCATTGGAAGGCACCCACACCCGGCAGAAGGAAACAGAGGGATGGGAGGTCAGGAAGGGAGTCTGGGGGCCGCGAGCCCAGGTTATGGTTGCGACTTCTGGAGGTAATGGGGAGCCATTACTGGTTCTTGAGGCTGGGGGCACCGCATTTGGTTCACGCTGTAGCAAGAGAATTCTAGTGGCGGCAGCAGCGCGGAGGGGGAAGGAAGAGAGAATAATCCGTGGCCGCAGAGCTTGGTCCCCACCACGTCTGAAGGCGCTGTCTCAAGGACCTCCCTCAGTGAGGAGTGTCCCTTCCCTCATTGTTCCCCCGGCATCCCCAACTCATGGCCTCATTACTGCCAGTAGCCTGCCCTTTTCAAAGCAAACAGTGTCACTGCCATTTTATGAAAACAAGATGTCCGGGTAATGAGCCCTGTCAGCGTGTGTCAGGAACCAATTTCCTCCTCAGGCCTCTGATTTATTTTCTGTGCTCCTTTCCCTGTCATCTCAAAGGGTAGTAGATCGGACAGTGTCCTGGTTCTGTCAGCCTGGTGGCCCCTCAGTCACAAGGGGCAGGCTGGCAACCAAGAGTCAGAATGCCTAGCCTGCTTGGTTCCTATGATCCTGGCCTTGCCTTTCTCTGCACAAACTTATTCTCCTACAACCCTGGTACTGAAGTTGACAGTTTCTAAATTGCAGTGGATGGCCGAGAGTGGGGCTAGCTGTGTGACCTTGGGCAAGTTACCCAACCTCTCTGTGCTTTGGGTTTTTTTACCCATCAAATGAAGACTCTAATAATATTAACATCATATAGTTGTTCTTGGGATTAAATGAGATAATAGAGTTAATGGACTTTATAAGGGCTCAATAATAGCTAGCTAAAATCTCCTGTTGTCCCTACCCCAGCCCTCTTTATAGAGGAGAAGCCTGTGGCTCAGAGGGGTTAAATCACTTTCCCAAGATGACAAAGACATGTTGAAGGCAGGATGTGCTTTTGGTTTGGAGGCCTGGGGTTTCTTTCCGTAATACCACGATCACGCATATTGAAAGGAGGTTATTCCCCCCATCAAACAAAGCTCAATGAGCTCTGTTTTTTCCCCATCTCCATTTTTTCCATCTGTGCACGGCCAGAGGGTAGAGTTGCGTGAACCGCATTGTCAATCACTACCCCAGACTTAGCTACAGTCAGTTCCTTCTCCCAAACCACCCCCTGTAAGACAGTGGTTCTCAGGCCTGAGTCTGCCCTAGCACCCCCTAGAGGGCTCGTTAAAACAGACCATTGGGCCCCACACCCAGAGTGTCTGATTCAGACAGGTCTGGGATGAAGTACAGGAATCTGCAAGCTCCCGGGGATGCTGGTGTGGTCAGGGGACTCTCAGTTTGAGAACCACTATCATAGAGTGTTTAAAAATGACCTTAAAAATAAGTTCAGCAAAAATGATACCACCAATTTAGTTTGGTTACAGCCCAAAAGCCAATTTGAATTCCTGGGATGCTTAAATTCTAGACAATTTTTAAGAAAGCCCAGTGTGGTCATTCTCAGACTACTTTCCCTATGAAGGAGATACTGTGGCCAAGTAAAAGTCCCTTGGGACTATGTTAAAAGGCATAGAGAAGAACACTTATCGCTATCATATCAATTGGTTCTTATTCATACTCTCAACCATCTAAAATTAGAGCTTGCCCTTGAGAATCTTTCT